CTCCCTGTTTTAATTTGTGCCCTCAACTCATCTGCCATGTTTGTCAGACTCCTTACATTTAAATAAATACTATCCAAACTCCTATTTTCCCTGGAGTGTTGGAGGCTGAGGGATAACCTTTGTAGAGGTTTATAAATTCATGACCAGCATGGATAGGGTAAATAAATAAGGTCTTTTGCCCAGGGTGGGAGAGTCCAAAACTAGAGGGCATAGGTTTAAGGTGAGAGGGGAAAGATATAAAAGCAACCTGAGGGGCAACTTTTTCCACACAGGGTGATGCGTGCATGGAATGAGCTGCCAGAGGAAGTGGTGGAGGCTAGTACTATTACAACACTTAAAACTCAACTGGATGGGTATATGAATAGGAAGGGTTTAGAGGGAAATGGGCTAAATGTTGTCAAATGAGACTAGATTTATATAGGATATCTGGTTGGCATGGACAGGTTGGGCCAAAGGGTCTGTTTTGGTGCTGTATATCTCTGACTATGACAAACTTCCGTGTGCCTTATTTGGCCCATAATGTCATTATTGCTTTCGTTACTCCTTTGCTGTCTCTTCTAATTTTGGCTGTTCATCTCCTCCTGCTGAACCTTCTCTCTGGATCCCAGTCCCCTGCCAAGTTAGATACATGGTGAAGTCAAGGATTTAATTTTGAGAAGGGGTTAATTTGAGGGAGTGAGGGAGAGCGTATGAAGCTGAACTAAAGGTAAATTGTACTCTCAACGAAAGGTAAATTGCGTACTTAAATTCCTTCAGTGTAAATTGAGTCATGTTCTAGAAACTGATGTAGATTCAAAGAATGCTTAGTGCAGAAGGAAATTATTTGGCCTGGCTATCTGTATTAGCAACACATCTTGTTCCACTTACCTGCAAGTCTCAATGTTTCCTTTCTTAAGATAGATGTCTAGTTCTATTTTGAAAGTCATGATTGAATGTACCTCTACCTGAAACTCGTAGTGCTTTCCATATGCTAATTATACACTGCATTACTAATATGTATATTTTTAGAAGTTGTAAATTAATTATTCTTGGTCTGGATTGATTCTTGTCCTTTTCCATAACCAACTTAAACCTTAATGATACTATGATCACTGTCACCTAAATATTACTCTGACAAATGATCCATGTCATTTCCATCATCCCTTCCAGCAAACGCCACCTCCTTTGATAGTTTGAAAGCACACTTGCATAGGAAATTGTCCTGAATACATCCTAAAATCTCTTGCTCCCTCTGCTGTTTATACAGTTACCGTTCCAATCCATGTTACGGTAATTAGGTGATTACTGTCTTGGAGCTTGCAATCCCACTTGGGGTCCAAGCTGCCACTTTGGAAAGTACTGTCTTGACCCTTTCAGTATTAGTGTAGTCTGTCTCTCCCAATTCTTTGTGCGGCCTCCCATGTCCCTCACCACCGCCAAGTTAGTTAAAATCCTTCCCATTAGCACCAATAAATTGCTCCATAAGGACATTGGTGCCAGCTCTGCTCAGGTGCAAATCATTGGAACTGTATGAATTCCATCTACCCAGAACTGTCCCAGGTTCCGGGAATTTGAAGCCATCTCTCCAGCACCATTTCTCAAGCCACAAATTTTAGAACTACTTTATTCTAGTAGCTCTAAATGCACTATGGGATTAGTAGTAATCCAAAGATTATGGTCTTTTGAGCTACTGCATGCTAACTAGTTTCCTTCCTAGCTCCCCCAAATTCTGCAGGACCTTATTACTCTTTCTACTCATTGTTACAGTTGTGGACCACAAGCAATAGCTATTTACAGATGCACATGCTGACACACGCCTGTGTGTGCGCATACCCCAAGCACAATCTCCCCCCGCCCCCCATTTACCACATCTGAGTGGCCAGTGAGGTACTTGTATAAGGAAGAGAGGGAATTGAGAAATGTCATAGCAACTGGGAACTCTGGATATATTCCTGATATGAACAAAGGGAGGGGTCGTTCTTGAATAAGAGCATTTGTACTTTTTTTTTTGGAGGGGGTGGTGTGAAGGGTGTGGGAATTGTTTGCTGTTTTAAAAGTCTCAATTTTTTTATTTTACTGAACCAACCTATTTCATTTAACATTAAGAAATTATAGGTTAGTACTTTTTTTAAAAGTTTGTTACCTGGTTTAAATAATTTCTGTCATACACCTCCCAGCAAGCCATTGATGCATCACCTTGTTTATATTCAATAGGGTCGTCCTCATCTATGAACACCACGCTGCCTTCAACTAGTGCCTGGTCCCTTGTTGGTGCCTCCAGCTACAATAGTTCCCTTAGCAGTACAGCACAAAGCACTCCAGGTAGGAATCTTTGTACAAAGCCTGCTATTAAACCTTACAGAAATCTCTCTCTGATCAAGTCACTATGCAAAGCCTGCAAATGCACAGGCTGCAGATAAGATATAGATTATCGCTGTAGCTAAGACATTTCATTAAACATTTTTAATGGCCAGATTTTCATAAATCAACACTCCCTACCTCTTGATTTCCTTCTTAGCCTGGCCTCCAATTTGACAGTGGATGCACACATTATCACTAGGTCACTGCTGCCCAGGAACAACCAAGAGGTGGCAAGGGTCTGTTCAGACATGATGCTTTCTTCTTCACTGCTGAGAATTGACAGAATCACCAATCTTTCCCCTTATTGCTCAGTGTGTTTGAGGGACTGTTCACAGTCGACTGCAACCAGCATCCATTCCTCACTGTGCAAGTTATTTGGGGGAATGCATCTGGCAGTTGGTATTGAAATCTAAATTTAAAAAGCTGAATAATTGTAAATTAGCAAGTTCCACATGGCAGTAATAGGTGTACGTTGCGAGATTTAATAATTGAATGCTAACCTTTTTTATCCTTTCAATTTGCAGCCAGAATTGGTGACCCCAAATCCACTTGGTCTCCTGGTCCAGTTACCAACGCTTCCCTTGCTCATGAGCTGTGGAAAGTCCCCCTGCCACCCAAAAACACTACTGCTCCATCCCGTCCACCACCAGGGTTGACCAATCAGAAGCCTTCGTCCTCGTGGGGAAATAGCTCGCTGCGTGTGGGTGGAGGATGGGGGACTTCAGAGTCCAGATACAATCCTGGTAAGAGGGTGTGGGGCATAGCGTTTCTCTTCCACTGCAGTAAGTGAAATAAAGAATTGGCTGCAATTCAAATTAAATCATATTACAGAAGCTTTGTTGCTGTGTAGATATTATAGTACTGGCAAAGTCGTTTTCTGGAAGCGTTTGTTCTAGAAGCAATTACGCATTGATGTGTTTAGCCTACTTGCCCCTCCCGACACCACTTCGCTCACTCACTCTCTCCCCCACCTCACTCCTTGCCCATTCATTTATTTCCTGCTCCTGGAAGTTGTGAATTGTGTTGAATATGTCACACAAGCACCAGCAGCTATTCAATACAATTTTTTTTCCCTTTATTTATTCACGGGATGAGAGCGTCGCTGACCAGGCAGCATTTATTGTCTATCTCTAATTGCCCAAATGGCAGTTAAGAATCAGCCACGTTGCTGTGGGTCTGGAGTCACATGCAGACCAGACCAGGTAAGGATTGCAGTTTCCTTCCCTAAAGGACATTAGTGAAACAGATGGGCGTTTTCTGACAATCAACAGTGGATTCGTGGTCTTCATTAGACTCTTAATTCCAGACATTTGTCGAATTCAAATTCCACCATCTGCTGTGGCGGGAATCGAACCTGAGTCTCTGGATTAACAGACCAGTAATAATACCACTAAGCCATCGCCTCTCTGTGTGAACCTCTACTTGTGTTTCTAATTGGTATCTTAACATAGTAACACATAGAAACAGAAAATGAACAGCATTTGCTGGAAATTGTTTGCCCCACTGTGTGCTTACTGAAAAGGGGATTTCGGCCAAATATAATTTTTCAGCTCTTAGTTCATAGTCCTATATGTGACATTTTTAGTGCATATCCAAGTAATTTTCTAAAACGGGATTTGGTTTCTACCTATGCCACTCTGAGTTCCAAACACCCACCACTATCTAAATGAAAAAAATTTTTCTTCTACTCTTCTCTTAACCTTTTGCCAAATCCTATTATTCTAGGTTTCCTGATTATTGAGCTCTTTGCTGAGGTAAATAAGTCCTTTCTATCCACTGAGTCCAAGTTCCTCCTAATTTTATACACTCCAATTAAATCTCTCCTCTGTCCCAACAAAATCAAACCTAACATATCCAGTCCCTCCTGACGCTACAATCTCCATTCCTGGCAATATGGTACTGGCATGGGTAGAGCGTTGGCTGACTGGCAGAACATAGACTGGGATAAAGGGGCCCTTTTCAGGATGGCAGCTGGTGACTGGTGGAGTTCTGCAGAGGTCAGTATTGGGATCACAACTATTCACATAATACATTAGTGATCTGGACAGAGAAACTGAGGGCATTGTTGCTAAGTTTGTAGATGACACAAAGATAGGTGAAGGGGTAGGTAGTGTTGAGGTGGGAGGCTGCAGAAGGATTTGGACAGGTTAGAAGAGTGGGCAATGAAGTGGCAGATGGAATACAATGTGGGGAAAGTGTGAGGTTATGAATTTTGGTAGGAAGAATAGAAAAATAGTTTATTTTCTAAATGGGGAACCGCTTCAGAAATCTGAAGCACAAAGACTCGAAAGCCCATGTTAGGATTCTCTTAAGGTTAACATGCAGGTTCATTTGGCAGTCACGAAGGCAAATGCAATGTTAGCATTCATTTCAAGGGGGCTAGAATACAAGAGCAGAGATGTATCGCTAAACCTGTATAAGGCTCTGGTCAGATAGTAGGAACTGCAGATGCTGGAGAATATGAGATAACAAGGTGTAGAGCTGGATGAACACAGCAGGCCAAGCAGCATCAGAGGAGCAGGAAGGCTGAGGGTT